GCATAAAAGGATTATTTCGAACATGATGGAATCTACAGGAGCATCGTTGTTTTTATTGAAACGGCGGAAATCTGGCTTTTAGATGACAACCAGTCATCTTTTGAGAGCGGGTGAGCATACAGAACCTGTGGTGAAATTACGAAATGTCCCTTTTCAGGAAAGTGGAAATATAATTGCATGTCCACATGTTAATAAACTGCATGTTAACACAGCAGGAGGATGTCACTTTTGTATGAATTTGGGACAAATTGTAATTTTGACCTACAAATGATGTAAGAAAAGGAAATCAAGAGACGCCATGACAAAAAATATGGTAAAAAATGTTAATATTCGTCCTGCAGCTCTTTGTACAAAATGTCTAGCCAAATGTTTTTACAAAGAGGTGATGGTACGAGAAGGAGCACAACTGGTTCTTAGCAGCAATTTCTAGGCCACAGATTTGGCCACTCAAAGTTTCGGACTTTGTTGCAAATGTTAAATTATTAATGTTATTTCATCACAATAAGAGAACCAGAGACAGGCGTGTAAATGTGTCCTCCGGGCAACATATAGATATAAGTACTAGTCCAAAATGTGTCTGTCAAAATGTTTCCTAATTGCCTGAAAACCAAGCTCAAGATTCAACTTTAAACGGAACAACCTTCAATACACAGTAAGATATATCATGGTTAATGTGCCCCACATTTTTCAGATTTTTGCTTTTTAAAAATGTGAGGTTACACATAGAGGTTGCTCACAGCAGCACTACTTTCATGATTATCAGCGTATTATTTATATAGAATTCAGATCTCCAATAATGACAGATGCTAGCATACGTCTGCATTCTGCTTTCTCTAATCTTCAGTTTGTAATCACTTAAATTGATAGTCATGTAAAATATAGTTGTGTAACAGAGAAAAATGCCTCATTGTCTCTTTTCTTCCTTCAAGGATGCTCGGCGAGATACGCTGCACAAAACGTCTCCAATTTTTTTACTGTATATATCCCCTCTTCTGATCACGTAATGAGTCTCTGTATACTTATTTGTTTTCACAGACTGCCACCTTGTCACGTACCTTTACCACCTATTGTTCCATGAAATGAAACCCATTTACAAATTATTCTCCTTCTGATTTGATAAATGTAACTAGCAAATGGGTGAGACCCCTGAATGCCTTGTTTGAATAATTGAGCAGTACTCAATCAAACAGCATTAGGCAGCGGTGGCAGGCACAGCATCTGAAATAATTACCACCAGACAACAGACTACACATTACTGCTGCCTCTGCGGGGGTTCCTCATTTGAGAAAAACAGATTAGAACACCAGCACCTCCACCCCATGTCTCACATGCCATCGTACGCACCACCCACAGAACGCCGCACGGGCCTCTTAGCGAGATCAGGCAGGGGAAAGGGAACAGCCACTACAGCGTGGAAGGCGGTAGGACGGCGGCCATTCATACATACTGTCAGGACTGAATAAATCACTGCCAGACTACCAGCAGCGCTGATGTATTTGACCACGCTTTCACAGCCTTTTAAATTGACAGCAGCCTATTAAGAAGAAATTGCACGCAACAAGTAATTCACTTCCAATTTACACGGACATGATTCGGCACACTCCATCATAAAGCAACCAAATTATTATTAGAAACAAAATAAAACCCCAAAATTGTAGTGATTTCACATTGTTGTGAAAGTTGGTAATGTCTAAGCACTGCCATGAATATAATTTGGTCAGAGAATTTCTGAAATATTTTAATCTAAATACACATTTGCAAAAACAAGCTAGTATTTCAGCAGGCATATACACACTGAACCCGTTTACATTTTGTCACATAACAACCACAAACCATTATGTATTTTAATAAGATGTCTTGTGGTAGACTAACTCATATGAAAGGAAAATTACACAGTTTGAGAAGGATTTGCAATAGTCCATTTTTTGCAACGTAAAAACTCGAGTATGTACAATACCTGAAAATCGAGACCATCCACCTAATGACGGGACAGCTGTAGTCATAGCAACCGCCAAGAGGCCATGTTGACTGTAGAGGAGCTGTGGAGTTCCAGAGCACAGATGGGAGAGTCTGCTGAGGGAAACCATTTCTCTTGTCCCACATCCAACTGAGATCATGTAGAAATATCTGTTAAAATGCATTCAAAGAAAATGGACAATAATTCTGTAGATATCCAAAAAAAAAAAAACTTAGTTGTAATGTTTGAATTTGTTCATAGCTGCTGAATAGAAATACACACCACACTTTTCTGATCTGTATTTGTCAAAAATGTGGGAAAAAAAACTTTATTTTCCTTCAAAACCACAAATCTACACCACATTGTGTCGGTCTATGACACATACTTCAAATAAATCCGTAAATAAGTTTCTCTCTGTTTTCTCTCTGCGCTCATCAGAAATGTTCAAATGACATTTTTTTTTTTTTTTTTAGTTTTCACTTACTTCTCTGTCAGTATCTTTACACTTCATGTACCCAATTATCTAGTTTTCAAGTTTTCCCCCTGTTTACGTCTGAGTTTTAAAGCCTCCCGGGACACGATTTAGAAAAGCATTGTCAACACGGGGACAAGCAACGCTGTTGTGTGCCTGGACGGATGCAACGTTGCCTGCAATGGAATGGGTCACTAAGCGTACACTACAACATGACAGCCAACCAGGCATACGTCTGTGCCAAAGTAGTGTTGCAACTGAGACTCGTTTACAGCGGGATGTGATTGACAGCTGGGCCAAAGGGCCACTGGCTGCTTCCTGATTTCCTTTTCACTCGAGGTGTCCTCGGGGACTTGGAATTCATGCTACGGTATATCTACAGAACAATTTATGGCATTAATGAGGATAAAAGGCAGACTGAGCACCATGCAGGTTTATGCTGCTCGGAGTTTTACAAACTATCACTTACAGTGAGATATAATTAATCTCTCCCAGTTTTCATTAATTCCTCATACGTTAAAGCAGAAATGACAGTCTGCTGCTATTTTTTTATTTTTTATTTTTTATTTTTTTTATGCAGAAGCCCATAGCTCTTTGATGAGAAAAGGTAAGACGCATCAGTATTTTATTTTTACGGCTGTGATTGATGTCACACACTGCTCTTTATTATTTAAAACGGGCCTACAGCAAGGCTTTGCGCAAAAACAACATGTCACAAGCTATTAATGCTAAGGAGTTACAAATTATTGCAGGATCCAACGTACAATCTCTATTTTTAAACCTAATCCCAACGACGGCGTACAGTGCAGTCTTTCCTGCAGCTACTTAAAGCGGCGGCAGCTTTTAAACAGATATTTGTTTAGCAGTTCTGACAGCATTATGGAGCTTTGAAGATTTGTTCCTTTTAACTTCACCTTAACTACCTCATACATCTGGTCAGGATGCGTTCTCTTGGCTTGTGCGGTAATTGTTTGACACGTACTGTTGGAATAATGAAAATAAGATGCAGATATTCTTAGATAAATGAAAATGTTGACTTGGGAATGATAAAAGTGTTCAAAATGGAATTCTAATGAACTAAAAAGTGTGTAGATGTGAGATAAAAATGGAATAGTGTTATATTTTACCCACGCTTGGCTTTGAGAGCTATTCTTTTTATATAAAATAGTCGTCGCCCTCCTTCCAACTGGTGTGGATTCCTTGCAGAGAGTAATGAAGGAGTTTCCATATATATATATTTATTTATTTATTTTTTTTGAAACAAGTACTATAACTGTGCTGGAACAAGTCTCTGAAATTTGTTGCTATCACTGAGATGTTTTGAAATGTGCGCCTCCTAAAAGAGGCCTTGCTGCTATTTCACAGGTCTTTATGAAGGACTGTTTGATCCAGTTGATACCCTTAGTCACTTGTACTTTCTTTTCAAATTTGTACGCAGCGTACTGCAAATGCATTTTCAGGAATCCAGGGCCTGATTCCGTGTCTGCTTGCAAAAGAACAGGCTCTGCTTTTTCCTTTCCAAGGTTTCGTCAGAAAAACAGACTCAACCAAACTAGTGATTTTATTGAAACAACTGATTTCTTTCAATCTTATCACTGAAACATTTTTTGCAGTACTTTTATTATGGACAGCCTTCAGTTTGAGGCCCACAGTGAACCTTCTTATACCCCTGAGTTGATGTTGGCATATAAGGCTTTAAAACATCACTGGCTCGTGGCTCGGCTCATAAATATTTTCACTGACCACAAGCTGCTTATATTTACCAAAGCAGAGATTACATGCAAGTTTTTTTTTGTTTTTTTTTAACTCATACTTATCACATGAGCATCAATCATTATTCTTAACCAGTACATGTTTTGTTTTTTCCTTTTTTGATAAGCTTCAGAGGACATAAATTATATAGAAAATGTGTCTTTTGACTCTTTTACATCTGCTCTGTTTGCAATATTGAAGGTTGTTTTAAATTTATTTCTTTGTATATAATTTAGCTTTTTCTTTTATTACACTACATTCAATAAACTCAAACTAAAGGAAACTAGTTTATAGTTAGAAGGTAATAAACTGTGGGGATTTTTCTCAAAAAAAAATGGAGAGGTCACCTTGTGTGGTTGTATGAAATATGAAGATTTTATTTTATTTTATTTTTTTTGGTGAATTCTTTACTGATTTTTTTAACATATACATTACAAACTTAAAAACTTTGACCAGTAAAGCTAAGTCAGATGTCAATGTATTTTTTGTTCTTTTAATTTTGAAATGTTTAATCTTAATTGTAGGAACTTGCTACTTAGCCTGTAGATGGATTTAGACGTTTTATGTGTGATATTTCTCTTGTTGTGAATTATGTCTTTCTCTTATGTGTCTGCTGTATGCACTTGCACTTTGCAATCTACCACCAGGGCTTGGCCTCTATTTTAGAAAACTGTGAAATACTTGCTAAAGAAAAGATCACTTATTCTAAGAGTGACCTTTTGATTTCCAAAACCAGCTGGAGGAAGTCAAATATTTAAAGAAATCATACATCATTACATTTAAAATAGGATTATGTGTTACATCTGCTTTCGATTCTAGTGTTGCGAGATGACTTCCGTCAGAACCCGCAGGACGTGGTGGTGGCGGTTGGGGAAACTGCGAGTTTTGAGTGTCAGCCTCCGCGCGGGCATCCTGAGCCGACCGTATTCTGGCGAAGAGACAAAACTCAACTGGATCTCAAGGATGACAGGATCATGGTGGGTTCACTTTCCAAAAACGGACATGGTGGTAACAACAAAGACGAATAAAATGTGAAGCTATGTTGCCAACCTAAAAAAAAAACAAAACGAAAAATTCATAGAAACATGTCAATCATCTTGTTTGCTGTTTAATGAAAAACTGCATGTTAACCTTACGTTTACGTTAATAATGTGTTGCGGTTTAACATATTTTGCTTTGAACTGGTTAGCTAATTTTGCCTTCTTCAGGTCCGAGGAGGAAAGCTGACCATTTCAAATACTAAGAAGAGCGATACAGGGATATATGTGTGTGTGGCCTCTAACATGGTTGGAGAAAGGGAAAGTGAAAAAGCACAACTTTCAGTATACGGTAGGAAATCTCTTCTCCACTCGGTGTATAATGTAAAAACCGGCTAAGTGCAGAAATATTCACTCGCTCTCTATGCACCGACAACATTTAACCCCTTTGCCTAATTAACACCTACGCTGTATGCGATCCTCATTTAGAAAGACCAGCATTTATGCAGCGCCCTGTGAACCAGGTGGTTCTGGTTGATGAGAGTGTGGAGTTCAGATGTCAGGTCCATGGTGACCCGCCGCCTGCTCTGCGCTGGAAAAAAGAGGATGTGGATGTTCCTCGTGGCAGGTGAGGGCCGGGAGTGAATGTGTGCAGTCCATAATAAGCACGTCTGTCGGTGAGCACTGCAGCAGTGAAAATGAGAACATTTAAGCACTTCTAAGTGTTAGGACAATTAAAGAATGATACTTAAAATTCAGGATTCGAAAACGCATGTCAAACATTTTAATTAGCAGCACATTTTCTGCTCAAATAACACACAAAAGTTTGAGAAATGGGTGTGTGTGTGTGTGTGTCTGGGATGTGATGTGTGGATGCTCGTGTAATTCAAACCATATGAGGCCTCTACAGTACAACATGATGCAATCCAGTGTAAGAACACACACAACTGATATCAGAATTTACTGCAGAATGTCTCACCAAACACTCTTACAGATGGACTGGATATTAATAATTTCAAGTCATTGTTGGACTTTGTGGGGGCTAATCCATAACAGTGGGCAACATTAAATACACTGATCAGCCATAATATTATGACCACCCTCCTAATATCGAGTGGTTTTCTCTTTCTTGTTAGAAACATGTCTTATTATTTGACGCTGCAGTCAGATGTTATCTGCTGGCTCAGGAAATCAATAGAAAATTCATTAAAGAAATAGCGAATTGAATGTCTTAACTGAAATGGAAATATGTGCCGTGTCTACGAACCATCAACGTCTATTGCAATTATTATTTTCACTTTTTGACCAAATTGAGACATGTCTTTAAAGGCAATTCAACCTTTTGAAAACATATGCCAGTTGCTGGCAGGGTGCTCTGTTGCGCTGTTAGCTTATCTATATTTTGCTAGCATATTTGGTCAATAAAAAGGGTTCATCATGGTGGAACCCGTCACAGTAACAATGTACAACAAGCTGCAGAACTGAAACAAAAGACCAGGTTATGTCCTCCTATTGTTCAGGGATATAGTAAAGACTTTTGGATATAAAAGCAAGGCAGTAGTGGTCAATGGAGCAGCACATAGAATAAACTGTGATGCTTTGTTATCTCCAGCTATTCTGTCAGACCATTATTAAAATCCAGTAATATACAAGCATTTAATACAAAGTGGACGCCTTGCTTCATCTTCACACAGCAAAGTGTTTTTTTTCCCCAGCTGCCGTTGAACTAATTCTCCTTCTCCTGACTCCTTTGAAGAATTTTGCGCCACTCAACAACCTTATTCTGTTTTTCTCTGTCACACCTGTTTTAATGTTCCTGTTTACCTTTAGCATGTTGCTCATATTCTCCTACAAACCGCTGGGACGCCACTGCAACAGAGTGGTGAATGTTTTTAATTTGAGCAGTTATTAGTAATAATGTCGTGGCTGATATGTTTCAGACGACCATTGCTCGGCTCTGTGTCTGGCAGCCTGCTGACCAACCTGGGTTGCACCCTCTGACTGTAAACTATGTCCTACTTCTAGAACCAGTTTCCCTCACTTTCCTCCTTTCACTTCTTTCATTCTTTTCCAAAACCTACCAGCCTCCTGGGACATATGTATCTGGGTCAGGGATGCGCTGTGAATGGAGTCCTCACCAGACTCTGGATGGACCTCCATAACTACCCCCACCAAACCCATCCCCCACATCGATATTCTGCCCACACCCTTTTGGAACATCTTTTCTCGAATGTGACTTTTTCTCACCCTCTGTAGCATTTCTCTGCCTGACTTGTCTTCCATCTTTGAATCAGTATGGCTGGCTAGACAATTTCACAAGATCTTTCATGCCAAAGGGGACCCAGGAGAGGGAGACCTAACTCCTTGCTCCCCTACTCATTTCGTCTCTTGGCCCTTCGAGACGCTTATCTAAACTCGGCTGGCTGAGATGGTTCTCTCACTCTTAACTGCGCTGCTGCCGTCTCACGTTTGCTTCGCTGATGGATACACTCAAATACATGGAACATCTCTATGAATTAGTTATGTTTTACTGCTTGGGCCAATCATCACATTCAGTTTGTCAGACTGTGCCACTCCCTTATTGTCAGACTGTTTGTCTGTGCCTCCTTCTCTCTCTCTTTCTCTCTCTTTCTTCTTCTCTCTTTCTCTCTCTCTCTCTCTCTCTCTCTCTCTCGCAGAGACACACACTCTCATGAACTATACAACAACCCACACTACAGTGTGGGCTCTTTATGAATATTGAAATAGTGGAACAATAAGAGTTCTAGCTGAAAGCCCCTTTCATTTTTCTGCGCCTTCATCTCTGAGTTTAATTGCTCTTCTTTTCATCCCATCCCCAGCAATTGCCTGAGAAAGTCTGTTGTTATTCTATCAAAAAAATGACACTTCCTTTTTAGAGCTTCCATGCAAAACGTCTCACACACACAAGTTTGCACACCGTAATGTTTGTTTTGCTTCACAGAAATAACTTTTGAATTTGTATTTACATGATTTAGAGTCTTTATTTGGAATACACTTGTAATGTTTAACGTCTCACACCGCTTCTCCAGGTATGACATCAGATATGACAGAGAGGACTCCCTGCTGAGGATAAAAAAGGCATCTGTCAGCGATCAAGGGACGTTTACGTGCGTAGCAGAGAACCGTGTGGGTAAAGCCGAGGCCTCGGCCTACTTGACCATCAGAGGTGGGCAACTGCTGGTGCTCTCTTTATATATATATATATATATATATATATATATATATATATATATATATATATATATATATATATATATATATATTCTTTCTGTTTTTCTTTTTCTTTTTACCAAAGTTTCTTTTAGCCATGTTTTTGGGAAGGTCACAATATGTCTCTCAAAACTTGCAAAACGTTATATTTCTTTTTTGATTCATAATTTGTTTCTGACTCCACACATACAGCTAAGGCTTTCAAGAAAGTTACAGATGACAATTCTTTTTTTTTTTTTTTTTTCATCTGGATAACTTGCCTGGCTAACAATAGCACGTTTACTCTCATGTTTCGATATGACTTGTTGATAGTTTGGCTATTAACATGATACTCCATTGGAATTTGGGAGCTTAGTTTTGTCAGGTATTCCCAATGTCCATCATTTTAAAAAAGCCTTTAATGCCAGTGACGGTAATTACACATTGTTTGTGTCCCTCCATCGAGATACATGAAGGTTCTAAAAGTTAATAACTTCAAAACAACTTGAATTATTCAGCACACTATTTCTTAAGGGTGACTATCTGAGAAAATGGTACATAGTAATAAAGTAACTAATTAACTTTATGATATGGGTTGAATGATCCATTTGTTATTGTGTTGTTATATGAAAAGCACAACGGCAAAAAGTAAAATATTTGGTGCCTTATTGACTTGAACACAACTATTAAATTTAGAAAGTGTTTACATAAGTATGTGTTTAAAAAATAAATATATGTTATGATAAAAAAAATCATATACCTTTAATTTCACTATTAATACTAATTAAATTATTGAAATTTGTATTTTAACAGCAGAAAGCATATTTTTGGTGTGAATTCAGGGATTCACTCAAACCATTGCTTTTTTTTTTTTTTACCATGGCAGTCTCTTATCAGCTCATACTAAATATAGTTATTGAAAATCTCTATTCAGTTGGTTTGATTTTATTTATTGGTCTTTAAATCTCCTTTTGTTCTAGGTCTGTATCACACGCTGCACATCTGTTTGGTTATCAAACAGATCTTTCAACTGCATACATGTATTTATTTTTTATTTTTTAATAAATTTTGGATTGTGGTTTTCTGTATTGCTGTGAGGGTTAGACTCCATGCCATCCCCTGCTTTGGTGACAGAGTTACCCTTCTTGTCCCTGAGCTTCATGGATGGAAACCCAGCTCCATTTCATTCATTTCTGATTTTCATTTCTTTCTTTTCCTGTCCCTCTGTTCTGCTCCTCTGCTTTCCTTCTCTCTGTGTTGCGTGTCAATGTCACCCACACCATTGTTGTGTCACCAGCTCGCCCCGTTGGTAAGTAAGAGGTGATCCCATTGTGCATGAGCTTATTTTATTTCTCGTTTTTGTTGTTTTTATTTTTCAATCACAGACATGTTCAGTATGCATGAGCTCTTGTTGCATTCCACAAGCACAGTCATCAAGTATTTTTTTTAAGACATGCATATCTGCTCTATCAACCTCTGACTTCCACTGGAAAACTTAATATGTATATTCTGAATTCTTCCAGTATGTGGGTTCAGGTGTGGTTGACGTGTCATAGTTCAAACACTACAATAGAGACGACGTTTGAAAATTTATGACATTTCAGTGGCTTGTTTGAAAAGTAGAAATAAGAACTAGTTCAATGAAAAGAAAACACCCAGTGCATGAAATCCTTTAGCTTGCAGCTCTTCGTCTAGTAGAGATACACATACTCATGATATAGTCTAACGGTAACGAGACGTCTACTAGAATACTTTGCCTTTTTATGGTTTTTTTGTTTTGTTTTGTTTTTGTTCATTTTCAAACTCAGAGGCACCTCAGTTTGTGGTGCGACCTCGGGACCAGATTGTGGCTCAGGGACGGACGGCTACCTTTCCCTGTGTGACCAGAGGCAAACCTCAGCCAACAGTCTTCTGGCAAAGAGAAGGCAGCAAGGTGAGCAATTTGAAGAGGTTGGCGCTTGAGTTGGAAAAATAAAGCTTTCATACTTTACTTAGACTTGTCAAGTTTAAAAGCTTGACTTAGACTTGTCTTCTACAGACTTTGACTTGTCTTCTAAAGGCTCAAGACTTAACTTAGGTTTGTGGAGGGACAACAGGGCAACTACTTTGTTTCTGCATTTTATAAAAAAAATTCCAAACATTTGAGTAGAAAATATTAACTTTGGATCTTCTTTGATAGTATTTGACTCTTATTTTGACTCGTATTATCTGCAATTCTATTCTTTAATAGTATTTGAGTCATCACATCTTTAGGCTTAAGATGTACTGTAACAGTTCAATGCAGAAAATGGCCCCGATTTTGAAATTGTGGCAAAAGACCAGTGTTTTTGTGGCATCTGGACTAACTTAGATTAGTTATATCTCAATATCAAGAACTCTTTGATTTATCAAAAAAGGAATGGCGTCGCAAATATTAAATGAATATTCCTTAAAACACAATTTGTGAACTTTTGTAGCTTTAATAAATTCCTAAAATTAGTAGTTTTAACGCTTTGGCATTTTGACCAAGTTGGCTCATCTGTTATGTAGAAGTATTAGATTGATCATCTAGACAGTATAAGAAAAGTCAAAACGCTGATTGGGAAAAATTTTAAATCAACATGTGATGTTGAAAATCCAAGTAAACACACATCAGATTTATTTAAATCAATGTAAAAGACTATTTATATTCTAAAGTGAAGAGATTTTTGGGGATTTTGTAATCAGGTCCGGTAATGCATTGAAGCATCTCTATTGTCGCTGCTCCATTTTTGATAGTGGGATTAAGGGTGTGAAATTAAATCCCTAATCCCAAAATATACAGGATAAGGTCCATTACTTTTGCAGTGACATCACCATATTTCTTTTCTTTACAATTTCAAATATCAGCTGATCATCCAACAACGGCACTTCAATGAAACATTAATACCACCAAAACGTCAGAAAATATTTTGCTTAGTAATTTATATTTGGAAAATTTGAATTCCATTTTGACTTTTGCTTGCAAGGTTCTGTCAGCCAGGTGTTTTCGCTCAATGGTATGAAACTGAATAATGTTGTTTTAGCATCATTGTTGAAGAATTTGAATTGTGTTGATGCTATGATGTCCACATGCGAGCTATGCATTACATATGAGACCTGCAGCATTCATGGGGTGGAAAAATCTGTGCCAGCCCATTTCATCTGTTGATCAAATTGTGAATGCTTGAGGGTCAAAGGTGTAGAAAAGTGATGCTGGAGCATCTTCCTATACAGTTGAAGCAAAATGCCTTAAAGTCCAGGTAAATACACTATAAATAAAAGAATAGATAATATAAATGAAGAGATTAAGTGTATGACGTGACTTTAATCAGACTTACCAAAACATAAGCGTTAAACCTCTCACTCTCGCTGATTTCAACTTTCAGAATATGTGGCACATTTCTCTTTTGCTTCAACCGTTGGTGCACAAACCGACGTCCATAAAGAGCTAGCGCTTTAGCTAAAATGTTTGGATTAAAAAGGAAACAGCTTCGACTAAAAGGATCAACCCAGGTCAGAACAGAATGTGGTTCTGTTCCACATATATTTAATGAAGTGGTCATTTATTATCAATCCACGCCCATCTGACGAGCCAATTCACTTTGCGAGAGACAATGTCATGTGCTGCATTAGCGTCATTAGACATAATGAAAGCAGGCTAATGTCCTTTCCTGTCCATCAGTTGGTCCGCCTGGGGTGCAGAGGCACAGAGCCCTGATGCCTCAATTTCATGGTCATGAGTGCAGGTTATCACAGCAGGAGCAGTACTTTGGTGAGAAACTGTAATTCTAACCAAGCAAAAGAAACATTGACCCCCTTTATTCAACAAGATTGCACATAGCATTTTAGAATATCAGGTTCTGCAGACATGTATTGATTGTAAAACTTATTTCTTTGTTTCCATTGTCATCCAAAATGGATTTCAAAACATGTCTTCAAGAAGAACATCTGAAACTTTGACACCAATGCACATCAGAATAAGACACTAAATAGATTAACTGGTTGTGACACTTTTACACTATTAACTATATAGAAACTAAATCATGCTAGTTCAGTAGTTCGGTAATATGACTTGGCTTTCTTTTATGCTGCTGACGTTCACCAGTGCAGCTGAATTTTTCATAATAAAGTAGTATGTATCTGTCAATACATGTTTTGTTTATAAAAAAGAAAAGAAAACATCTAATCTCAATTTACATTTTTTTTTCCAAACGTTTGCTTTTGTAGGATCTGCTGTTTCCCAATCAACCAGCACAGGGGGACGACCGAGTGTCTGTGTCTGTAAATGGAGAGCTGACCATATCATCTGTGCAGCGCTCAGATGCAGGCTACTACATCTGCCAAGCCCTCACAGTGGCAGGCAGCATCATGGCCAAGGCCCAACTGGAGGTAGCAGACGGTAAGGCGGGACCCAGTAGCACATGCACACCGTCCTCACCTACAGGAAAAGAAAATGATTTTTAGTTATGCGATCTACTGCCGGAGTAGTGCTCGTTTCAGTCCCGAGCCGCTGATTAGTGGGTCGACGTTTCTCTACTTCAGCAATATTGACGAAACTCTAGCACCTCGCTAGCTACTTGCATTATAAATGGAGTGTGTGTTTGATGTTGGTCTAGCTTCACCTGTGATCCCTTTGGTGCTTTCATTTCATGAGAAACACAAACACATAAGCTTTGCAGCACGGCTGACGGTGAACAGAAGCATCTGCCCACACTTGTAGTTTCCTGACAAAGATCTCTTAAGTTCTAAAAGCCAGTCACCCTCAGTCATCTTTTCACTTCCAACTCTCTGTGATGGAAAAATTAAAAGGCAGAAACAGTCTAAAACCCCCTTAAAAATGTCTGCTTTGTGAAGAGACACTTTACACTTTTTTATTTTATTTTTTATCAAAGCTTTAATGTCAGCATTAAGTGCTCAGCCGCTGGCAGCTGGGAGTTGTTTCCACTCCTCATTTCATGTGTTTCTTGGCTTTTTTTTTTTTTTTTGTCGCCCACACATTATTAAATTAACATCTGTGGAAGTGGGTTTTTTCTTCTTTTTTGGGGGAGTCAGAATGACTCGTGTCCTGTCACTCAGAGGAGACAGATCAATATCAAAATGTTAGGTGTAGAATGCGAGCGATGGGAGAAACGTCTGTGACAGATGGGTGTAAACAGAGATGGAGAGTGTTTGCTTGAGGCCTGGGTGGATTTTGGAAGTTTGCAGAGTTCCATTTGTGGAATTACTTAAGATTATCATGTGGCGCATCGTACAACAGGGTTTACATGTGGATAAAAAGTTTTTAAAGGGGCAAATATGGACTATTTATCACTGAATTAAATTTGCATCTGACAAAATCGATTTAAACTTCAAAATATGGCATTTGGCTGGATTAAAATATGCATTTATTCATATGTTCAGCATCTTTGTATCAAAAATAACTTACGTTCATAAAGCCACTCTATTTCATCATATCATGCAAAAGAAAAGAGATGTTTATGTGGGGAAAAAAATGTGGGTGTTAATGCTTTACATATATGGTATTGAGTGAAAAACAGCAGAAACAAGGATTCTAGGGTGTGAGAGTTACTTCTGACAGAAACATTTTATTACTTTGGTGGTTAAAGCTCATTTCGATACAGAAGTGGCCCCTGAAAAAGAGCAAGACTTTAATATCGTAGTTTGCTCTGCAATCACTTGGGATGATGATGAGTTGCCTTACAGAAAGGATATTTTCGTAGAAATGTTCCTTCTTTTTCCAGCAAAGACCAATCTTACGATTGAAAAAAGAAATTATTTGCTTGCTCCCAGTGAAAAAGGGATAAGAAAGTTCAAAATCTCTCGCTGTCCATCCATCATCAATTCTTTTGTTCCCGATCCATATCTCATAACCTTTGTCGTATGTTGAATAGTAGATGGACTGGAAATTCAAGATGTTAGTTTTTGTTTTTTTTCTCCACATGTTTATTCTGGAAGTCTGCAACAGTGTCCACATTGCAGTAGACCTGTCCACCTCTTTCCAGTTGAAACCTGCGGCCTCACTCTTATCCAGAAACGACTGAGTTCTTTAACACATCAGCGAATTCTCAGCACAGTGTCATTCTGAAGCAACTCTCTACATAAAACCAAACTATTAATCTCCTGTAACAGTCAGTCGCACCTGACTTCCCTTCTAGAACATTATGCTGCACTTACATGTACCTGATATTCTGCTTGAAATGCTGTCTGGCTCATTGTGCTGTGGGACTTGTGATAAAGGAAAAGACTTCAGGAGCATGCTGTACACTCTTCTGTGAATGGAGACTCACTTGATAACAGTGGTGAGGAAATTGGAAGCAAGGGGTAGTTACGAGGCTAGGAGAGAGATTCGGCACTCCAGAAATTACTGTTTCAAAGTCCGGAGGCTGTATCCTGCATGATATAACAAGCCCTAAAAAAAAAAAACTAAAAAAAAAAGAAAGAAAAGCTTTAAAGGAAGTGCCTCATTGTTTGGCTTGGCATGCTAATTCAGAGTTTAGTTTTATCTGTGTTTGCTAGCGAATGGAGGGGGGGGGACAAGAAAGTGCAGCCATGAGTCACACAGTAGGATGAGGGAGGACAGGCATGAATGTGTGAGAGGTGTTATAAAGAAGCC